GCTTTCCATCCAAGCCCGACCGTGTCCCCGGTCCCCTCCAGGCAGTGCCCCCGCTTTCCATCCAAGCCCGACCGTGTCCCCGGTCCCCTCCAAGCAGTGCCCCCGCTTTCCATCCAAGCCCGACCCTGTCCCTGGTACCCTCCAAGCAGTAGTGCTCCCTTAGGAATCTGCCTGACTGAGAAGGGAGTAGCCTCCACCCTGAAACCCAGAATTGGTCTGAGTCCTGCCTAACAACTTCCCACCCCCTGTAAACACAGCCTTCTCCCTCAGCTTCATTGTTGGCCCAGGGATTAAATCACTGCTAAATAAATATTAGGAGCATGTCGATTCCACGGAATGATTGACCATGCAACAGTGGGAAGTGAGTGGAATGGTATCAATCAAATCTGTCATGTTTATGTTGGGATTTGAAAGTTGGTCATTTAAGCAGATAAATCAAGATGTTCAAAGCTCATAAAAAAATTAAAAAACAGATGTAGCCTCCAGAAAACTAAAAAGCAGAGATCATCAGAAAGTTGTTTCTAGAGATAAGAAACATTGGGACAGGAGACTTTGGCTTTCCTTTATAAGCTTTTCGGTATTTATTTGTTTTGTTATAATGTGAATGTATGTCTTTGCTGGAAAATAAAACTAAGAACAACGAGAAATTTCAAAGCTTCGACTTGATTCTTGTAACTCAGTGCACCCATATCAGAACCTCCATGCATGACCTATGTACCCTGTCCCTGATTTTCCCAAGAGACCATGTGTGGTACTAAGTCAACTTCAGCACTTTCCCAAAGCCTCCATTGTCAGCCAATAATCCCGAGAATCTCTCAACTCCTCTGATTTTGAATGTACCTGAATAGCCTTTGACACAACCTCTTCACTCTTCTCTGCATTACAATTCTTCCTGTTATCCAGCAGCCTCCAGGCAGAGCAGCTGATCTCTCTTATGTTCTTCCTGGGGGTTCACGGAGTCCAGATATCCTAGCCGGTTCTGATTTCATCTACAGAGCATCTGCATTTTCCTCAAATTCACCTTTCCTTGGGCTTGTATTATTAGCCTTCGCACATAGCCTGGGTCCCCAAATGACATCGGACCTGAGAAACTGACCTCATATTTCAGCATTGTGGGATGATACTTTTTTGTTGTTTGCTTGGGTTTTTCTGTCTGTTTTGTTAAGAGCTTTTATGGTTTGTTTTTTTTTTCTGATTATGAAATGAATATACATGAGGCATGGTATGAAAATGCAAGGCAAAAAATGTAAAATATAGTGAAAATCCCTCATAATCCTACTCCACACAAATAAAAATGTTCCTTAAGACTTGTTTTACAAGTCCTTTAAAAGGAAAGAGAGAGAAACAGAGCATACCACACATACTCTTCTACAACCCACTTTTTCAGTGTTTACAATTTCTGCATCTTGCAGTAGCCACACCTAAAGATCAACCCCATTCTCTGTAACCACTGTGTGCTATTAGCTTATATGATATATTGGTCAGGGTTCTTTGTTACAGAGTTAAGGAGTGGTTCTGAGAGGCCTACCGCTCGGCTGCAGATTCCCAGTTGTTGGCAGGGAACCACTCCTTACTGCCAAGGTCAGGGAGCTGCCAGTCAGGAAGCCACCTTGCAAACCTGAATGCCGCCTGACAGCTGCTGGCTCCAGCCTCTCGGCGCCTCTCCCACGATCCTGCCAGCAACAGGGCTGGGCTCTGCCCCTCTCCCTAGGTAGCGCTCTCTGATTTGGAGTATCATGTGAACATCCAGCAGGTGAAAGCTAAACTGGGTGGGGAACCTGCTTGCAAGGGGCCTGGTAGATGTGCTTGTGAGCTTTTTCAGCTTCTTAGTATAAGGAGACCCACTAAATCTTTGTCAGAGGAAAACGAGTTTCCACCGTAAAGGATATATCATACCTTTCTCTTGTTTTGGTAAACACCATTGCAGAATAAACAGAAGGTATTTTGTGTTTGTTTTTTAGTAAGGTTGCTTTTAAATTTAGAGATTCTATGTTTATTGAAGGTCTCTCTGATGAAGATGCAATTATCATAAAATATTTTTGGAAGTCAAAAAAAAATATTTTTGGAAGTCAAAATAATCTTTCAGTTTATTTATGTTTGCACAGGCGACATCACTGTCCACATGGAACCACAAGGATTTATGAAAATTCTGGCATATCTTGCCCCACCACTGAATATTTGGAAAAATATCCTACCTATGGCAATGTTCTTCCACCTCAGAGTCTGAAACCCAAGCAAGAATTTCAAGCATGCCGTGGTAAAATGGAAGGAATAACAACATTTAAGTAAATATTAAGAAACTAACTGCTTTACTTACTTCTCTCCCAACTCTTCTGGTCTTAATAAAGTTTTTTAACTATTTAAAGTGAACTGTTAAGTTGATCGAAGTTGAACCAATTCAAGAAGCAAGGAACTAGTTGAATCACAGCTTGAGAAAAACAGAAAGATGAAAATTAAGTTAGAATGACAGAAAGTAAGAAAGAAAAAGGGAAATAAAAAGTTTTATTGATTTTTATTTAACTACTTAAAATCTCTTATGTCTATAAGAGACTTTCCACTGTCACCTCCAACTAGAGGAATACAGGAACTTCCTGTTTTTTCTGTAGCTACTCTAGTTTTTACATCTCTGATCTGTTTCCTATACTTTAGCCTGCAGAGATGATCTTTTTAAAATGCAGTTCTAATCCTATCATCTCGTTGCTTAAAATACTTATACTTTCCCCATTGTATTTAATATACACCAAAATCCCTTCATGGTTTGGTCCCTAATTGCTTCTCTAATTTATTTTCAATGTGCTTTTTAATGCTCACATCCCATGGGACATTTCTCATTTC